GCTGCTGATGCTTCAGAGTTTGACAAAGAACCAAGCTGTACACATAATCCTCTCGCTTAATGTCCAGAGCTGGTCCGGGCAAGACTGCTGACTCTTGCACAAGGAACTCACAGAGCCGATGCTGTATAAATAGACATTTTTCACAAAGCACATGATACGAAGTTATGAAACATCATCTGACTCCTGTTAATCTGGAAATAGCAGGATAGCGGAGCCAAATCATCGACATTGTGCTAAAGCTTGTGCTATAATTTCCACCTTTTTCATCTCTGACTACTGTAAGTCTAACAAAACATATCAGATATCAATGTATTTGCAGCAGCCTGTCAGGAGAAAAAGCTGTGTCAGGCTCTGTGTCGAAATAGAAATGCTTTCTAATGTGAACTTAAGAACATGCAAACAGTGAAAGAAACATTTCTCTTTGGTCAGAAGTTCTTTTGCCAGTTCCTTATTGCCCTGCTATTAAGGTTACGGCAGAATTATGCACTCCACAACTCAGGAAGTGAAAATGAAAGTCAAGCCGAACATTTTTAAATGGCTTTATTCCTGAATGATGATGTCTGTCCTGTTTCCATTTCTCTGCTCAGCTTTAAGAGTCAGAATGTGTGAATGCTGCTGGCTCCTCCGCTCCCCAACATGCTGCTGCAAACATTTCATAAGATGATATTTTCTGCTTCTGTCAGCAAGATTAGAAATACCACCTGTTGTTAGAAACACTTTGGCTAAATCAGTTTGCATTTGCACGCCTGTTAAACTGCATGCTAGGCTTGTGACAGCTGAGATTTAGCTTTGTGCTAACCCTACACAATGTTAAGAAACAGAGTGACGTGTACTGGCCAGTAACATTGTATCAATGCCAAACAAAGACTGTGTGGGAAACAGCAATATTACGTTACAGCTCAAACCGAATGAGCTCTTAAAACTGGAGCTTCAACACTATGTTTGCCCTTAACAGAAATCTTGCTATTTCTTTTAAACCAGATTCAACAAAGGTGCTGGAAACATTCCTCAGAGGTTTTGGTGTATACTGACGTGACAGCTGTCAGTTAAACATCTATGATCCCAAAGGTGCTCTGCTGGGTTGGTATCTGGTGACTCTGGAGGCCATTTGAGCACAGTGAACGCATCGTCATGTTCAAGACACCAGTTTGAGATGATTTGAGCTTTAAGACATGGCGTGCCATCCTGCTGGAACAACACGTTCTCACTCCCAAAGCGTAACATTTTACGCTAGGTGACAAATCGTCAACATATTACGTTTTCGGCTACCCACCACGTTCCTAAATGACGACCTCGGGAAAATGAGGAAATATGAGAATCGACTGGACTGAATCTACACATGTTCGCTCTTTTTCTTCAAATCGCTTACAAACACGCTATTTAACGTCATTAAAGTCCTGGTTAAGGTCAGGAATAAGGTTATGGTTAGGGCTGGAATACAGGGCTGGAACGTCTGTTACTGCGGTAGCGTCATTGCACTGGATTTCAGCCATAACCCGAAGGTCTCCTTTCGTGTTCTTCAGGAACGCCGCGGGACGTGACAAAACGTCGGCATGTTACGCCTCGGGAGTGAGAACGGGCTGGCCGGAAACAGCCGTCAGGAGATAAGGTACACTGTGGTCATTAAAGGGATGTATGTGATCAACAATCAGGTGTGGTTTTCTCCTAGTTCTCATCTGCTTCAAGTGCTGCACATTCAGAAGTGCTCTTCAACAAATCTTGGTTGTAAGGAGTGAGTCTTTGAGTTACTGTTGACGTCTTACATCAGCTGGGCATTTTCACACAGGGAAACCACCGGATGATTTCTTTTTTCAGACCATTTCAGGCTCTGCAAACCCTGATTTATTTGGGAAAAGTAGATCAGCAGTTTCGTAAATGTTCCGACCACCTTGTATGGCATCAACAACCGTGCCATTTCCAGAGCCCCTTAAATCACCTCTCTTCTCCATTCTGGTGCTCGTCTCGACCACGTCTGTGTTTACTTGGCTGCTTCATGATATTCCAAAGATAATCTCACTTGCACCTGCTTCTACATGTTTGATTGTGTTTTTCCCTCTCACCACCAAACATCCAGTGTGGATACATGTTATAAAAGTATGAACCTTGTATATGACTACTTGAAACACTAGTATTGACTGTTATTGACAGTCTAGATCTGCTTCCACCTGAAATGACAGAAAGCAGTAGCAGCTGTAAAGGAACTGATGGTCATTCTGGTAATATATCAAGACTGTGTGTGAAATTTAGACCTGAG